AGAGCAGCGCTGAGAATGGGAAGCAGGAGCAGTGCTGAGACCCCGGGACAGAGCAGTGGGCTCTTCAGCCCACTGAATGGGTAAAGCTGAGTGCTTTCGGGCACTAGTAGCAGGAAAGGAGCTTTGTGTGGCACGTGCCCGAGCAGGGCAGACACCAAGGGACATGTGGCGAAGAGGCCAAGGACCAGAGAGACGTGCCTTAGCCAGCATGGCTAAGAGGTGCTCTGCTGTGGACGAAAGGGCTGTTTCCTTCACGTTTTCTGATATTGTGACCTGTTCATTTGCCTAACAAAGCCCATGGTCGTGACTAGCATGAGTTCTGTGTGGCAGCTGCAAGTTAAAGGAAGGCAGCAGAGAAGTCGTGCTGGGGAGGGAGAGATGGCTGGTGGCAGAATAGCATCAAGATGGAGAGCAGAGGCCTGTCTGACCCCAGGCCTCACCGGAATTATCCGTGGACAGATAGCGAGTGGGGCTCTCCTAGCCCCTTGTGCAGCTAGAGCTCAGATGTGGCCTCCATGCCATTTTCTCACTTGTCTTCCCTCCACCACAGCCTGCTGGATAGACTTTGCCCTCCCTCTGGTTCTAAAAGATGAGCGGACACTGTGCGGATATAGGCTCTTCACTAACTCTTCACTTGCACGCTCCACCCCACCCCTTCGTTACTCAGGGCATTTGCCCCACAGTAGTTTTCCATCATTCCCAGTACCCTGCCTTCTCCTAGGTCATCTGCATCCACATGTAAACACTGTTTCTCTGTCCTCTCATTTCCTTGCAACTACAGATTTGCTTTTCAATATAGCAAAACCCACAAGGAGTTATCTATGATACTCTCTGTCACGATGTTTGTTGTCACCTGTCATTCTCTCATCCTAGGTCTATGAAGAAACTCCCCCCATTAGTTCACTCCAGACAGCTAATCTCATCACTTCCAGGTTCCTGTATCACCTGGTCAATTCCGCCTGCATCTCCGGGACCTCTCAGCCACACGGGATGGTTGACCGTGGTTCTTTCTGGGAGCACTTGTCACTTTACCACCGGACCCCCAGCCATTCCTCCCGCCTCACCAGCCCATTTCTTTTATGCCCGTGTCTTCTTCTTAGCTTGCCTAACTGAACATCTTTCACTTTTTCTGCCTCTGTATTTTAGTTTTCTATTTCCTAGGGCTCCGTTTTCTTTCAGCGCCACTAGAGGCTAGTCTTGAGATTGCCTGCTTTCCTGACTGCTAGCTGAAAATCCCAGGTGAACACATGCTTGCCCGCTCAGTGTGGAGACAGAGGGAAGAGGGTAATCCTGTTCTTTTTATTGTAAACTTGCTTTCAGAAGGGGTATCTGAACAAAAGATTCTTAAGCTAGCCACACTGTATTGACTGTATAATAGAATGCTTCCTAGTATTCACCGGCAGTTAAATGATTGGTACTGACTAGTTGCAACTGATTGGTTGTCTTAATAATTTATTGCTCAAACCATCGTGTTTAAATGAACAGCTTTGTGTTGAAAGGAGTAAATGAAGAATGTGTGAGCTTTCTGGGCAGTTAAGTCAAAAGAAGAGTTTGTGTTTCCTCCCATCAAGCATGAATACTATCACCATCTTATTTAAATCACAATTACCTTACTTGGTCCCAGGGTTTTAAATAAACACCATCTACACACTAGAGATTCCTCACTTCTCCTCTGGACTCGACACGCATCTATCTGGGATCTGCCTGGATGTCTTACAAAGAGCCTTGGTGGCACAGGAGTTACATGTTGGGCTGCTAACTAATCGCAAGGCCAACAGCTCGAAACTACTAGCTGCTCCACGGAAGAAATAAGAGGCGTTCTATTCCCATAAAGGGTTACAGTCTTTGAAACCCACAGGGGCAGTTCTACTCCGACTATGGAGTTGCTCTAAGTATTGCTTCGATGACAGTGAGTTTTTAGATGTCTTACTGGCATCTCTCACCTATGATGGTCAAAGCAGAACTCCTTGGTTCTCCACCCATGCCCATCCCACCCCTAGCCTTCCCCACCTCAATGTAGGGCATCACTACTCACATTCAGCCATGGTTAACGTTTCACCCATCTACATTGGCATTTATCATTCACTCTCTCCCTAAATGTGTGGATGTGGCATACACAGAATTTTTCCCTGAAATATTTACTCCTTTAAAGAGTTACTGGTGGAGTAGTGGTTACGCATTGGGCTGCAATCCGTGTGGTTGGCAGTTCGGAACCACCAGCAGTTCCTTGGAAGAAAGACAGGGCTTTTTTTTGGGGGGAGGGAGGTGGTGGTGTGGTGTCACTATGAGTCAGTCAGTCACTGTCAGGCTGGCAGTGAGTTTGTTTTTTTGGTTTGCTAAAGAGTTAGTCTCAGAAAACCCATAGAGGAAGTTCTGTCCTGTCCTACAGGGTTGCTATGAGTCTACATCTACTCGATGGCAGTGAGTTTTATGGTAAGTTACACATAGGGCTGCAATCCACAAGTTCAAGACAACCAGCTAGCTCCTTGGGAGAAAGACAGGGCTTTCTACTCCCATTAACAGTTCCAGTCTCAGAAACTCAGGGGGGCAGTTCTACCCTGTGCTGTAGGGTCGCTATGAGTTGGCATCAACTCGATGGCGGGACATGCATCAGCCCTTTGTGCTGTAAAAACCAGACATCCTAAAATTAGGGATCTTTTCTTATATCTCCTCAATATAGTTACTAAATTTATAAATGTACCTTGATAAAGTACTTTAATTTACTGCTCACATATATTTTACTTTGCTATTATCTCTTAGCCTCTGATCTGGAATCTTTCAGGACCATCTTTAGCTCTATCCTTAGCTATACCCAGTCCATCACCAGTCCTATCAAATATAAACCAATCTGACCACTTTCTAACACACGGATGGGTATGGAGCTGGACTAAAAACCTAACATAAAGCAGTCAACATTAAAAATGCAAAGTAAAGCAATAAGGCTCTCCCTCTTAACCCATGAGGCTAACAGTGAGGTTGGAAGAATATTACAGAAACCAGGGAAATACATATTCCAAGAACCAGTCATCTGTACGTCATGCCGTACAGATGTGATCATGAGACCACCAGGAGGGCACAGCAAAATGCATACACAAACTCATTTAATGCCCAAGAAACATACAGTACTATTTTATTGTAGAATACATACTGTTTATAAAAAACCTGACTCGAAAAGGCCAAGTAACTGTCACATAGCTGTAAGCAGCTAGCTTACAGATCCTAACCCAGGTGCTTACTATTCTAAAGCCCGCGCTCTGGAGCAGTGTTTCCCAAAGTGGGCAGTATGACCCAGGGGGCCGGCAAGAGCAGACAACTAAACTTGATTCTGGATTGTGGAGCATAGGTTCCCAAACTTATTATGCCTGCTGTCCCCTTTTCGGGAGGAGGGAATCACCCAGTATTCCCCCCCACCCCCCACCCCTAGAAATTAAACTTTTGTACTACAGTGCCATAATCCAGGGTAAAGTGTAGGTATTGGCTGTTGCAGCCGACCCCCGCCTTGGGTTGTCCCAGCACCCCAACACCAGGGAAACACTGCTTTAAGGGGCCATTTGAAGTTCTGCTTTGTATATACTTCCACGAATTTGTATTTGTTTGGGTTACAATCATCATTAAAATTTACACAACATAATACAAAGATATTCCTAAGGAAGGTTAAGTCTAAAGCAATCACTCCAACATATGGACATCACTCTCCAATCATTACAAATTTTGCTAAATTATAGGACAGACCTTTGTAGCATGGTATATAAGTCAGCATTTTAGTATCTATACATGCTGTTTTAAATTCGTCCCCGCTTAGAGAACAAATATACAAAATAAATGATCTGATATTGACAACACTGTCCAATACGGGGCCACAGAGTCACATACAGGGCACTTGAAAGGTCGCTAGTCCAAACTGTGATGTACAGAAAATAATATTATACACTACATTTTGAAGATTTAGTGCCCAAGATGTATGTAAAGTATCTCAGTAGTAATTTTTTTATTATGGATTACATGTTGAATACTATTTTGGATATATACTGGGTTAAATAAAACATTAAATTTCATCTGAAAAAAAACACGGCCAGAACTCTTTAGATATATTGGCTCAAAATTATATTTTAAGATTATATCAGTGGATATAATTTCACAACACTTCAATGAAAAAAACTTGATTTCACCTGGATAATATCTGATGTTCCTGTTTATATTCAAAATGTGTTTTTCTTTTTAATAGATGTTGCTCAAGTTTTTGTCTTCTTTGCTCTAAATAACAAAAGGAAAGATCTACAGGTCAATATCAGTTGAACCGGTAACATTGAATAAATATTGTTGAGTAAGGTGAAGATTTTAACTTAGTTCACATCTTTCTTCCTGGGGAATATAACAGAAAAGCACCTTTGCATTTGCGAAATAATCCTAATGATAATACAACGTTTATGGAAAAGGTTCCTATCACACGTTTGCAAAAGGATCACAGTCTCACTGCCCTGCAGTGATAAATCTGGAGAAGATTATTTTCAATAAACAATGTCTGGACACCAGGCTTTAGCAACGAAGGAGTTGGGACCAGACCCGAACCCTTGAGTTCGTCTACTAAGTGGCAAGGGCTGTGTAGGTGAGTCACTTCATGTCTACAGTCCCAAGAACCGGACGAAGAACTAGCATGGTGCAGAGGGCGCAGGCCATCCCAGGTGTCCACAGAGCCTAAGGTCAAGGTATTGCATCTGAACGCACAAACTGCAGCCAGCAGCTCCGCCCCGCCGGCCCGGATCCCGCGCAAGCGCAGTCGGCCCTCAGCCCCGCCCCGCCCCGCGCCGCGCTCAACCGCCCGGCGGCCCAGCGCTCCGCGAACACCGAGCAAGGCCAGGCGGTACCGATCGCAGCGTAGACACTACGCTTCGATGGCTTAGTTCGCAAGTGACAAGAGGCGTGCAAGATGGTTCAGGGGAGGTGCGCGGCCGGCCAGGGCCCCGAGCGCGCGGAAGCCCCTCGCGCCGCCCCTCGCTCACCTCTGAAGGCGGGCTGGCTCCTCTGGCTCGGGGGCAGCTGCAGGTGCCGGGGCACGGCCGGGACGCTCATCGCAGGCCCGGGAGAGGCGGCCAGGCCGGCGTCTCCGGCCCCAGCGCCTGTGGGAGAGACAGCGTGCGCACCGCGCTCTCCGCCACCCGCGTTTCCCTGAGCCCGCGGGGCCGCCACCCGCTCCCATTGGTCCGCGGCTGGAATTGAAAGGACCAATGGGCGCAGAGGGCGGAGCCCGGGCGGCGCCGTTACTGGGCGGGTCTGGTTGCTGCGCCGGTCAGTTAAGGCCGCGCTGGGCTGACCGCGCCAGCTTTCAAAATTAAACCTCGCCTGCACAGCCAGTAGGAGCCGTCCAGCTGCATACCCTCGCTTGTTTATTCAAATCACATACAAGCCCCTACTGGTAGTACAAACAGTGGGGCTACTGGCGAGCGATGGGATTTGCACAAAAGCACGTTGCAAGAAAAGCTTGATCTGCTGAAAAATCAGCTGTTGAAAGTACGGTACTAGTCAGTTGGATAACTCGTAGTGACCCCGGTGGTTTTCCGAGTCTGTTTACGGGAGCAGAAAGCCCAATTTCTCCCACGGAGCTGCTGGTGGTTTCAAACTGCCAGCCATGAAGATCACAGCCCAACACGTAACCACCACACCACCAGGACTCCTGGATACCAGGACTCAAAACAAAAACCAAAAAAAGCCCCCTCAGACTCACTGCAATGGAGACTGCACCTGTGGGTTTCCAAGACGGTAACTCTTTATGGGAGTAGAAAGCTGAGGGGGGAGGTCAGATGCTTGAAGGCGATCAGTTGCCAGACTGCAGTGGGCCTTGCTCCCACCTGTTAAAGACAATGGACAGGGTTGCAGTCATCTATTTGGTTCCTGTAGGGGGGGTTTACATCCTACTGATAATGGTTCCTATGGAGACCCAGAGAACAGGTCAAAGTTAAGCTGCCATCCTAAATCTAGGATCCACCCATCTTGTCACGGGTATACCCCAATCCCTCCTCTTCCTATTGCATGTATACCCTACATTGTCCCCCTCTCATTGCTGTATAACCTGTAGTGCAACCCCTTCCTCTGACGCTTGCCTTCCCCTGTAATTAGCGGGCTTGCATGTCCCCAAAAGGTATATAGGCCTGGGTTAGCAATAGAGGTCTCTGTTCTCTCTCGTTCCCTTGCTGCTCTCTCTTCCCCCCTCACCTCTCCCATCCTCTCTCCCTTGTTTCCTTTCCAGTCCTCCTTCCCTTCCCCCTCTCTCCACGTGGACCACCAAGCGGGGCTGAGGTGAGCAATGCTACCATGAATGTGTCCGGCTGCATTATTGTAATATCTCTTCTATTGCTCATGCTCTCTATGACTTTAATATAATACTTATATAATATCTCAACCGTACAATTGTGCTTACTGAACCCGTGGGTAGTGGTGGGGGACTGGCTCCTCACAACCTAATACTACAGAAAGCCTCATCTTTCTCCCAGAGAGCAGCTGGTTTTGAACTACTGACCCTGTGGTTAGCAGCACAACTTGTAACCACTCCACTACCAGGGCTCCAAGGTATGCAAAAAAGTATTGCTACAAAAGCATCACTTACAGCCATTAAATCAATTCTGACTCATACGACCCTCTAGGGCAGAGCAGTAGCTCTTCACAGGGGCAGAAAGCCTCGTCTTTCTCACAAAGAGCAGCTGGTTGGTTTCCAACTGCTGACCTGTGGTTAGCCACCCCATGGAACCCACTATGACGCCAGGCCCCCTTATGCAAAAGCACAGAGACCATTAATAAACAAAACTGTCAAAGCACGAAGCTATTGTTTCTCAGTAGACCCTCTCTCTAGGGCTAACCATTTCGGAATCTGTGTCTCCACCTCCCGGAAGAGTTCTGTGCATCACCATTTATAGCACATCAAAACTGCAATTTGGGCCTCGTTGAGAGACGTGTTCTTTTACACGTTCTTTGAGTGTGAGGAACACCAGAAAATCTGTAGGGGCACAATTAGGGAAGTAGGGTGGGTGGAGTAAGGTTTCCTAACAAAATACTCCTAGCACAGTGCTTGCTACTTTTGATGAATGAACAGATAGATCCATTGTTTTGATGGAATTCCCTCCCCCCACCAGTACCACTTTCTGGCATCCACCTAGGTCTCCATTTTCTTAAAAACTTCTTCCTAATAAACCCCTGTGATTGTCTGTGTCCTTCAAGAAAATCTATCACAAGATTACCCCTGAGGAATTCCAAGAGACAGTTGCCATAAACTTCTGAGCCGACCTTGCCGCCTTGCATTTCACTGATGGGGCAGATCCCCTCAGAAGTTAATTGTTTGGACTTTTTTGTTTTGTTTTGTTTTCTGACACCTAACGGACCCTGGTGGTGAAGTGGTTACAAGGTGGGCTGCTATCCACAGTGTCAGCAGTTCAAAATCACCTGCCACTCTTCACCAACAGCTGCTCTTTGGGAAAAAGAAGAGGCTTCACGCTCCGGTAAAGAGTCACAGGCTCAGAAACCCACAGGAGTAGTTCTACCCTGTCCTGTAGGGTCTCTCTGACTTGGCATCTAGCGATAGCGGTGAGTTTGAAAGAGACCAAAAGGAGTGGTATCACTGAGAATCTTGTCCGCAGCCATCCCCATTGCAGAAACATGTTTTAACACATTTGATTTTCAGTAAACCCGGGCACATATGAACGGAAGTCCCAGCAGCAAGTTTTGACTTCTCATCCTACGCTCTGGTCGGCCAGAATAACTGTTGTGACGCTGGCGCAAGACTTGGCAGCTTTCGTTCTGGTGGACATACGGTTGCTAGGAGACGGAGCTGACAGTGTCTCCTGACATCACCACCACCGCCTATGGATAAGGAGTCCTGGTGGTGCAGCATTTAAACGCTTGGTTGCTAACCAAAAGCTTGGTGTTGAAGGCCACCATCGTGTGCACAGAGGTAAGTAAGATACAGCATGCTGCTTCGGGCAAGACAGCAACCCTGTGGGGCGGGGGAACCCCACAGGGGAGTTTTACTCTGTCATGCCCTAGCTGGGAGCCAGAATGGATTCTACAGCAATGGTTAAGGAGAGGGGGAGAGGAGGTTATTATGTGCTATGTTAACGAAATTATATCCCTGTGGGGTGAGTCTTAAACTACTGACTTTTGAGATTAGGCCCAGCGATGCGAAAATACACCGAGGGGCCGGAAGATGCCACACCTCCTGAAGATCATCAAGGAGGTTCCAAAGAGTCGAGGTCCGTCTCCCAGAGCCACAGAGACGGAAGCCCTTCTGGAATGCTTTTCCCAGCCATCGCGTCAATTCCGACCCCAGAGGGACCCGACGGGCCTGGGAGAACTGCCCCGTGAGCTTCTGAGATAACTCTATGGGAGGAGAAAGCCTTGTCGTTCTCCCTCAGAGCTGGCTGGTGGTTTTGTACTACTGACCTTGCAGTTAACAGTGACATGCGTAACCACTCTGCCACCAGCTTCCTGTGAAGAGACCCATGTGTATTTGTGAAAGCCACTGAATTACAGTATTTATAGTAACACTAGATAGCTAAAACCTCAGGATAAGACATTTTTCAAAGTGGGTTGATACAGATATTATTTAATATTTAATTATATTTATACATATATATGAAACAATGTGTGTCTGAGCGAGGTTATGATGATGATTCGGAAAACCTGCAAAACTGCTAGGCTTTCCAACACGGGGATAACCCCTCATTTGCCAGACTTATCCACTCCGAGGACGGGATCTCTTTTGAGGCATGTTTGACATTTTTTCTCTCTTTTAAAGAAACAGGAACAATAAAGTTTATTGGGCTGTACAGAC